TTTTTTTGGCTATTATTTATATTTTTACTTTACATAAATGATAAACTTTTTGCTATTGTTATTAAACAGTTGTGACAGATATTAATTAATGTTTAAAATTGAACTACTGAAATCGATTGCCAGATTTGCATAAATGCACTTTAGGTGCTGTTACATATTTAAAACTAATACATTTTTTTTAAAAGCAACATTCTTTTTATCTAACTGCCATATAAAATTTATTTATTGATAGATTTATTGTATGCATAATGAATATTATTATATGTTTATTGTATATACATTTATAAATAATTGTAAAATTGATAATGTCGTATGTAAATGTATCCTTGTGCATATATCTATATATATATATATATATATATATATATATAATATCAATTAGTTAAAGATAATAAAAATAGTGTTAGGCTCACTTCCTGCCTGCTTCTTGGGAATCTCGAATGATTTAGTAATACTATTTATGTTTTTTGGGGTCATTTGGTGAAACACTAACCAATTATTTTTTAATATGTATTATAAATTTAAATGTTTTAGTTTTTAGTTCACTCATCGCACAAATTACACTAGACAATTCTAATTCCACAATATGCATGCATTCATTTCAATTAACTTGGTTCTGGTTATTGGTGTGAAATTAATTCAAGAGTTATTAGTCATAATGGGTAAAAAATAAAATGTTATTTGGTTTAGTTGTTTTTCAAAATCATGATTTATATATCAAATATTTTAATTATGCATACATTCCTATAAAGATACATATTATTTATAAAATTATCAGGAATTAGTATTAATAATAAAAAAACCTAAACAGACCTTTTTATCCAGAACGACTATATCAATATATGGTTCAGGTATTAATTCCTATTCCTATTTCGATCATTTGATTTTTGAATATATTTTACTGTTATTTTGGCATTTTGTAATTGCAATAGTTATTGGGTTATTTCTATTGCTTTTTAGAACAAAAACTATTTTGATTGAAAACAGTACATTATACTATTTGAAGCAAAAGAACATTATATATTATGAATATGTTTATTTTGAGTTTGAATTTTCATTCTGTGCTATAACAAGCATTTTAGTACATTTTGATGTTAAAGTATTTTTTATTATTTTTAACTATAGTTGTACTTTGCATTCAAATATCAAATTTTTCTAAACAGATTGTTTCAACCAAAACATGACTTCAAAAAACTATTGTATATATAGAAATAAAATTGGTTAATAGACAGGGATCTTGCAATGTTTTCAAACAATTGCTTATTAGAAGATGTGTTTATAATATTATGTAGATTCGTTAATAATATAATTGTAATGAGATAATTTGGCTAACCTAAAACTTCTATAAACATCTTATATCATTCAAAAATAGGTATTTTGTAACGTGACAAGAAGCTATTGAATACACAATTATTTTTTACGATAGCGTTAATCATGTGATGCTAAGTAGCCAAATTATTTTTTTCTGCATTAGCTTGACGAATAAACATAATATATGATACAAAAATTTTAATCTGTGATTGATTTGACGACGTCGCGATTTCCTTCCTTCTATTCTGGTGTATAAAACTAAAATCACAAAATAAAAACTGTTTGGATCAGATGGATGGCAGGCAGGAAGCACGAGTAGTCCCCTCACTACCACCACCACTAGCACAAATCACCACCAATCTACTTCAACAAATAATAAACCGCCGAAGCCACCGGGCGATAATAGATCGCGCGCCGCCAATAAACCGCCAGCCGAGACGCACCTAAAAACTCCATTGAAAAAGTTCGGAAGCGTTTCCGAACATCCGCCGCCGCCGTCGCCGTCGCGTCTTGTACGGTTTGCGTCGATTCAAACGCCGCCGGACCGTTGTGTACCGCTTGCTGCGGCACCGGCAAAGCGTTAACGAACGATACCAAATCAGATAATAATAACGAAACTGTTGCATCGCGTTGTAGATTATTCGATGAATCTGTAGTTTCGGCCAAAAGGCGTAGTAGCGATAACTTACCGCCAAGAACTTCCCGTGACGGCGTTTCCGGCGATAAGCCGCCGTCTCGAACTAATTCTTATGCATCAGATAAGAGTAGCATTTCAGTAACTGATGGCAAATCACACGTATACCCTGATGATGTCTTTAATACTAATAAAGAATTACAATTCGCCACCGGGCAAACGCCGCGTAAAAGCCATGAATTAAAAAAATTACCAAAACAAGAAGTTAACCAAAATAAAGCATTAAACATTCACTACGTTCCTGTGTACACGCAAAATAGCCGTATGTCTAAGAAATCAAATGCGGCAGAGTTTGATACAAAGACTACTTCACTAATAACACTTAATGTTCAAGATGAAAGCATTTCTACATTACTGAAGATGCAAAGCGGCAGCTTTGATTTATCAAATAATGTACAAAGTAAAGACGTGGAAGATGATCAAAATGAAACCACATACACTGACGGAGATATCGATGAAATTTTAGGAAATGATACAGACGTTACACCAACTGGTGATGGATCTCTAGAGAAGCAAGATGACGTACATTGTCTTACTCCTGTAATGGCTGAGGATCATTATTTACCAATGAGTCCCAGGAAAAGTACAGAGTCCACACAGCTAACAGAAAGTTTGAAAAATTTAGCTTTGTCAGATACTGAGGAAAGTCCTTATGTTGAAATGACACAAGGTTTGAGTAATAGCTCTACCCTATATGGCTCTTTAGACCGTGATAATAGTTTCGGTGATACACCTTACGAAATGATGGTAGCAACAAGTAAACTTGAACCAGTCTATATGGAATTATGTCAATTAAAAACTGGCGAAAAGAAACCGGAAATTATTAAGAACTCCAAAACTACTAAAAAAGTTCAAGTGAAAAAATATCATGATATTAAAACTATCAAAAAGCATAATAATGAATATTTCAAGACGCGCGGGGAATTACCCGATATTCTCAAAGCTTCACATCAAAATACTATTCTCTCAGATAGTTCCGACGCGGATGATGAGGCATCCAGAGATTTAGATAGCCTAGATACGCCATGCCATCCTAGATTCAGCTTATCCGATACTTTTAGACCAGCCTCATATTATTTAGGCGTATCCCAAAATGAATTTCCAGATAGTTCTGATAGCGAAATAGTATCACCACCTCCTATTCCTAAATCTCTACCACCAAATGAGGATTTGAGCTCAAACTCCAGTATAAATTTGAGTAGAGAATATTGCTCTGACGCAGATTTGCATTCAAAACAATCTCACAAAACTAGTCGAAGCAGTTTGCAGGAGCCTATGGTTAGTAATAAATTGAAATGGAGCAGCGGAGACATTGACTACACTTGCCTAAGTCGTTATAGTGTGGACAACAAGTTATATATAGAAGGCGTTAAGAAGCATGATGATTCCAGAACTACAAGCGATACAGACGATGCTGTAGGTTCAGATCATGAAGCTAATAGACTAAAACGAAGACCCTTAAGCGAAGAAAATGTTAGTGAGATCACGTCCATCCACAGTACATTTGATGAAATTATAGAATCTGTAGACCTGGATCAATATCTGAAGGATCTTCAAAATAATGAGTTTATGTATGGAAAAGAAATGTATCCAGCACCGTTTGGGTGGCGTGATAACGAACAAAGTATAGCACAAGTACCTGATGAGCAGTATTATGAAAACTTAGAAATTAGAAATACAGATCTCTCTACAAATAGTCAAGGGGTCTTTTATGACTCTCTAGAGGAAAGAGATGATACGAACTCTAAAAGTCATGTGGTATCTTTGAGAGAAAAGAATTTATCTCTACATGATGCAAACTGCGGTGATAGAGATAGAACTGATTGTGAAACAGATGTAAGATCGTCTTTAAGTCATTTGGATTTGCAACAAGCAACACCTTTACATAGCCGAAATAATAGTAATATTTCAGAACAATCTGCTCCATATTATTATTCCGATATTGCTTCTAGGATGAGTTCCAATCAAGATGTGGCGTCGCCTCATAGCGATAAGAGTAAACAAATAGAATGTTCTACAAGCGATAATCTTATGGAAGAAAGTAGATGCGCTTCAATGGAATTTTTAAACAAACATGACAACGTTGACAAACGCAATATTTACGAAAGTGATACTTTAAAACGCATTAAATCTGCTAAAGAAGATTCTACGAGTTTGTTTTTAAAGCACGATAAGTGCGTAGTACAAGCACATGATCAAGGGTTTCATTTGCATACTGTAGATTCGTTTCAAACTTCATCCTCAATAGTGGATATGTTGTTACAAAGCGTAGGCAGGGAAAATTTAATACAACCTCAAGACGAAGGAGATGTTCCTTGGGAAGAGGATGCTATATGGAGGGAAAGTTTGAGACGGGAAAGTTTAAGACGCGTCAGTGTAAGACACGCTAGATCTTTGGACGATCTTGACGGACTTGTCGATCAAAAGGACTCAAAGCAAAATAAAACAAAGTCGAGATTATCTCGAGGAGTTACTTATGTCAATGATAGCTTAGCTACAAGCAGAAACAAAAGGACTAGGTGTTCCTCAGGTGTTATTGAGGACGAGTATGTCCAACTTGCTGTTAACAACGTTAGCGATGATGGAGTTTATGAAACTTTACAAAACCGTCATAACAATTTAAAAAGCTTTGATTATGTAGATAGAGAGAAATTGAGGCAATGGGATTGGATGTCGAGTGGTTTAGTGAAGAATGACGCTATTGGGGCGTCCAAAACTGGCGGTAATACAATTGGCGGCGGCGCGTCCGATGATAAATCGGTGGCTTTGGCGGAACGGAAAGGTGAAACACAGTTATCACCGGATGGGCTCCTTGAAGGTTAGGGTAGGTTATTATGTTTTCAGTTTACTTTTTTTTAAAATAATTAAGACCATTTCTAATATAAGTTAAACGTTTATTATCGTTGTAATGTTATAAGAACTTTATTTAAAATTGTCGAATGTTTAAAATGACGGTTTTTATATATTTAAAACACAGTATCGACCCTCAAGCGATATGGCAAAATGCAAGAGTTTGATTGTCTAATACTATAACATTTACAACTATATTAGACGTTACAAAAGTTTTTTTTTGTTGCAGCAAAAATCATATTCATGATTCATTATTGTGTATTCATTCACATTTGTCTTTTGTATATTTTTATATTTTCCAAAGAATTTTGTGTAAATACAAATAAATCCATAGTTTCATGTGTATATAAAACTGTAATCATTATATTGTAAAGTCATTTCAGTATTGACTATTTTTCTTGATGAATTATATGAAAATGTGCATGTTTAGTTCAGGTCATATTGTAAGCATCAAATGCACGTTTTACACAAAAGGTAAGAACACATTTCCGCACAATTCTTTAAAAATATTTCACTTAAATTTATTATTTTTCTCGTTTCTGAAGATACTAAACATTGTGATAATTATTTTGTTCTCAGAGTGGTAACGCTAAGCCAAAAATATATATTAATTTGATTGTCGGCGATTATGTTTTTATTTTTGGTCATAATTCTTATTTTCCAAAGTTATTTTATAATGAAATTTATGCTATATTGTTGTGAGTATTGTATTTTTACAAATACTTATGAACTTTTGGACATAATCTAGGAATTGAACATAACGGTTCTGATCTCGATGCATTGCACAAAACTAGTCTTATAGCCATTTTAAAAACAGTATTTGATGGCTCTTATTTTCTTAGTTTATATTGACATAACTGCTGTCAGTCCTGCTATTGAAGATCATTATCATATCTCATTTACTTGAATTTCTATTTTCAGCGTCTCTCACCAACAAATTAGGGGTATACCCAAAAGCATCAACGCTACCAATGCGTGCGGTCAGCCCTAGATTAAGACTAAGTCAAGAAACTTTATTACAAACGGATAAATATACACAAAAACTTAATGGAAATGAATATTCAACAACAAAAACTGATTACGACAAATATTATTCGAGAAATTTATATGACAGCGATCTGATAAACTCAGATCCAAATAGTGGTAAATTTATGTACAAGGAAGATCAAGACAGGTACGGTAGTAAACAGGGATTAATAAGGGACTACGACGCCGAATATGGTTCCAGGGAAATGTTTGTAGACGCAGAATATGGTTCCAGGGATAATTTATTGGGCACAAATCATGGAGAGTATGATAGTAATTATTTGAGCAGAACTGGCGAAGATTGGTCGAGACTGAGAAGATCAGGAAGTCAAGTCGATGATCTCAACTTTATTGATCGGGACCAGATAAATAGGGTGAGTATTTTTAAATGATGCCATCGTGCAAGTTTTGAATAGCGCTATGATTACAATTATATAATGATCACATTTTGTCAGTTTTATTTTTTTTTGTAACATAGATAACAATGACATTTATGTTTAGTAATTACGTCATTTGTATTAGCATTTAAATGTATCTGCTGGTGATTTGTTGGGGCGTACACATGAGGAATTAGTTCTTCTGTTGATTCAATTGAGGAGACAAAATGCAGCAACAGCAAGAGCGGTCGAGCAGTGTTGCAGTAAAATACATCAATATCAGGTTTCAGAAATTCTTCATATAGGTTATTGCTTCTGGTGAATGGTATTTTGGAGCAACTCACACACTAATAGAATAAGCTTTTATAAGTATTTTTTACTTAGATCAATAAATGTGATAAATAATATCTTTTAATCCTTTCGCTACGAGAAGGTTTGACACGGGGGTGATATTGCTGTATGAGCGAAAAACACAACATATTTTGTTCACATAAAATGTATTTGAAAATTGCACTTGAAAAAAACTAAAAATCACAAAAACAAATTAAAATTTATTTTAAAACAAAATGATTACGACACTCCTAAAAAAGGTTGTCAAGCAGATGTCGCCTATTGGCGACGGTCGTAGCGAGCGGGTTAAATTAAATATTTTTGCTGATAAATGAAGCCAAAAGCTTAACGCTTTTTTTGGCATATTTATTAAATGAACATGATTATAAATAATTTATTTGGATCTAATATGAAATACATGACTTTGCATCTTAGCAACACGCTGTAGTATGGAGATTAATCAACTTATATTTTTGATATAAAAAATTAAATTGACAAGCAACATAAATGATTCAGAGCAAACTAATATATAACACTTCTAATATTTATGTATTTGATATCATCTCATTATTTTATATAGTTCTTACGCTGTAAGAATACTCTAGACGTATTAATTATTAACACCAGGTTGTTTAGAATCACATTTTACGTCTTAATCACTGCATTTTATTTGCAAGAACTAAGGTATACTAATGATTCCTAATTTTATTGTACCAGTTTTTTCATAACCACCTCAATAACCCGAAACTGGGCCAGTAGCTGCTGAGCAAAATAATTATTTGGTTGACTAACACTGATGTACCAATGTATTTTTTATATATTTTATAATAATAACAAATTCACTCATGTTCAAATCATATCACATGTGATTTTCACAGAGTCGTCTCGGAAAATCGATCGACGATTCCAAGCAGCGTGAAGAAAACTTGCAAAAATTAAACGCTCTAAAACACCATTTGCTCGAGCTGGAGAAGCAGTACGAGAAAGGTAAACCCTTGGTCAATCTAGTGGACAATATGGTCAAGCTGGGAGCTCTTTATAAAGGAAATGCTAAACCGACAAACCAACGACATAATGGCGGTTATTTGAATGATAAATTGGAGTTTAATCAGAGGCTGGAAGAAAGAAGGCTGATGAAAGAAGAACAAAAATATTGGGATAGTGCTAACGTGGATGAGCAGCAATTGCAAGTTAGTAATATTTGTATTACCAAAGAAAATATTATAGATATAGATATAGATGCTATTTGAAAACTCGTTTTTGAAATTAACTTGAAATAATTTGAAATTTCTTCGGCACCTACATGCTTTTTTTTTCTAGCTTAAATTTCTAGCGTTTAAGCGTTTAAATTAGCGATTAGTGAAACATGCAGAAGAATTATATATTTCTTGATATTGAAAAAAAAAAAAACTATATTACAAATTTTATATCCGAATCTTGTTTTGGCGTCCCTAAGGTGTGCGCCCGCATTTTTCGCATTCGTCGCATTCAAGGGAGAACCGGCCTTATATAATATCCTAGTATATATCAATATAATATTAATGCATTTTATTATGATATTATTATTATTTTCATGCCTGAACTCAGAGAAATAGTGATAAGGATGTGAGTATAACCCAACTGTAATGTTTATTTATAAATTGGCCTTATAAAAATTAATTAGTAATAATTTTGCAATTTTTAACAAATTATTAAAAAGAATTACATACTAAATATTGCAAAACTTTGTAATAGTTTCTACGGCAATTCGGTATGCTTACAAATCACTCATAAATTAATATATTGATATCTCATTGTCTAAGTCGATTATTTACACATGTTGGGAAATTTATGTCACTTTTTTAAGGGAAAATGCCTCTTATACCTATTTTTTTACTAGAATAAAATGCGGCAACTTCAAGAGTATAGCGACCAACTTCGCGAGCAATCAAATACTTTACAAGGACTACGCAAAGATGAAGAATCGCTTCGAGGGGCTTTGGCAAGCTTAAAGACACGTATGCAGCAGGGTCAACAATTGAAGCAGACTCATAGTACTATGAATTCTGCTGCTGGGAGAGCCGAGTTGCTGGAAAAAGCCAGGGAACAAGAGAGGGCTTTGGAACGAGAACTGACTAAAGTTCGGGAGCTCTTGGTGAATAATTCCAAGGTAACAGTGGAGAAAAATTTTGATATCTATATTTTAAATAGTTGCTATAGTTAAACCTTTATGTTTATTAACGAGTTAAGTGTGTCGCGCTCGTCAGAATCGAGTCATGACAAGTATATTCATCAATCACAGTTAACTAGTTAAATGATGATACTGATAGCCTATTTTTTAATTTTTAGATGAGATTAGTTAATTTTCAGTTCAAATTTTTAGATAAATTAGTTGCTAATAATTTTAGTTGTAACTTTAACATAAAAACTTTAACTTGTTACTTGTTTTGTGTCAGAAATTAGAAAATACGTTGTCCGCGAACTCAAGAGCTGAAGATGAGTTACGAGTAATGACTCACAGATTTCAAGAATCCAAAACCAATAACGGTTCTCAACAGCAACTATTGTTTATGGGTAACATGAATAGCAACACTAATGGAACTAGCAACAATCAAACTGATAGTGTGCCCTATGCTGGAGGAGCAACAGCCTTACTTGAATCGGGTTAGTACTTACTGATTACTTTATAATATTCTATAAAACTTATATTATATAAATATAAAAAATGAATATTATATAATATTTTTATGGACCAATTTTTGAATCAAATAGTTACCTTAATTTGAGTATTTGCATGAGTTGAAAGTCACAGAGCAACTAGTTTTACCTCCAAATAGCACAAAAGTTCGACTTCACGCCGATTTTATTTTTGCAACAAAATTACACATTGCAAGAAGTAGAACTAATGTTATATTTTGAAGATTAGAGTTTAGGAGTTGATATTGTGTAAAATGTACGATTTAGGAGTTAGTTTGTGTGCTTTATAACACTAATAATATAATTTTAGAACTAAGGCGTGTGCAAGAAGTAGTCGGTGACATCCAAAGACAGAGACAAGAATTGAGTTTAGCTGTACGTGAGTTGACAGATAGATCACAATATGTTGATAGAGATGTCTTGCCTAAACAGACTTTAACATGTGAGTATGTTTGTTGTATTAATCACATAATAATAAGTACTGTTCTGCCCGAAGGAGAGCTTCACAAAACAATGATTCCTTTTCTCTTTCTTCATATTATTATTATTATTCGTATTTCCAATTTTCTACTTTCATGCTTTTCGATTCTGTGCTTCAGCTTTCAGTTCTTTGTATTTTTTTTCTCGCGTAAATCATCAATCATCTGCATTCGTTTTCTTCCTAGTCCTTTTAGTCTTTCTATTTTACGTTCGACGACGTCCTACAGCAGTCACTTATTTTGCAATATAGGTCCGATCCAGTTTCCTTTCTTTTTCATGATCTTGATAGTCAATAATGTTATAAAATTGATTGGGAGGGAGATTTTTCTCCTTACTATCTCCCTTCATAGTTCTTGCCTACCCTTTACCCATTTTTTGCACTCCATAATGGCGTGCTCAGCATCCACCCTAGTCACTTCACCCAAGCAATAGCAATTAGATCACTTTTAATTTATAAATATACAAGCTCTAATAAAACTAAGCAATTTTCCAAATTAATTCGAAATTAATAACCTTCTTACGTATATGTTTAAATTTACAAAAAATCAAAGATTTAAATGTTTTTATACTTTTTTTGTAATATTTTTTTTTAGCAAATGCATCTATAAAGAAGCGGCCTCAAGCTACATGGCTAGAAACGGACCTAGATTTGATGATTACATTGGAACATGGTATCAATATCGAAAGCGATGAACAAACAAAAAATAATTTATACAAGAACATGATAAACAATACAACGTCAAATAATGGCTGCAATTTAAATGTTGAGAGTAGAAATGTGGAGGATGATGAAGATAGTGGTTCTGAAAACAAAGCTTTGGGTAAGCGACTGATTCAGAATTATTTTGTGATAAAATATTTTATGCTTTATATTTATTATGGTTCAATTAAATTATTATAGGAGCCCTGAATGCAAATTCTCAGGAGAGATCGGAAGTAAAAACTGTGCGGATCGTAAAACGAGAAAGTGAACGAAGACACCGAGATCGAAATGAAAAAACTCAATCATGGAATTACACAAGTAATTTGGATCATGTAAGTAAAATTCAAGGCATCTCTAATAAAATGATCAAAATTAATATTTGCTTTTATTTGAAAAAAAAAATTACAAATCATTTACATTATGAATTATGATTTTAATTTAATGTATGTTACATAATTCGAGAAAACCATTTTTGTTTTAGGTTATGGAAGAAGAAACAAATCGTCCTAAGTCTGTTTTTGAAAATGATTTAACATCAATATCATCCTCGAACCAGCAACGACCTTACTCATACGCACAACAATACAGTCGCAATGCAATAAATAATTCCAACTATCCCTCGAATGCATCAACCAGTTTTCTCGGTGTTTCCAATAACATATACACATCCAATAATTATTCATCAGACAATTTATCATCTAGAGATCTACTAAACGAAAATAATTTGATACTTAGTAAATATAATTCCGCGGACCATTTCTCATCATCACAAAATTTGTATGGAAAATCGGAATTTCCTTCTTCGCAGAATTTGTATGGATCTCGTGATCTCAAGAATTTGTCAAAATGTGAATCCATTGTTAGCCTTAGCAAATCTGCTGAATTGTCACCAGTTTTCCATAGTCAAGCAGCTAAAGACATAATAAGTACGATCAATATCAATGATGTGAAAACTGAAGATAAATACAACTCAAAGAGTGAAGTCATGATTCATAAGAGACAAGTGCCTAAAGAGAAGAGGAGACATTACACAGCTCCAACTAATGATATCAATATGAAAGGAGTTGCTAATATGGATGGATCCTACAGCAATGGTGGCACCACAGACTTAAGCTATAGTAAAGAGGTTAGCAGTACTAATATTGCTTATTTATGTTTTGATATACAATTAACTTTCCTAAGGAGTAATTTGCTTTTACAACTTGCTAATTTTATGTTTTCTCGACACTTCAAGTCATTCTGAATTGTTTGTTGAGGCTAAATTTGGAAAAAGTGTTATGTGTGTGAGCCCATTTTTGACCTTTTGTCGACGATTTATCGAACAAAATTTTCCCAAATTGAATAAACTGCAATAGTATATCACATGGCAGTTTTCCTTACGGCAAGTTGCAAAAACTTCTCGGCATGTGTAAAACTTCGACTTAATCAATAAGAAATTAATATATTAATTTATGACTGATTTATAAGTATACCAGTTGCTGTAGGGCATCTTAGTATGAGAAACTACAACGATTAATTCAAATATTAATTAATTCAAAGCAACTTGCCATAAGGCAAAATAATACTTCTAGCCCGCAATTCTAAATCGATTATTAAAATTCAAAAACCGTTCGAAAGAAATTGGTTGGGAGTCGTGCTGATTAGTTTTTGGTAAAGATCGCTTCGGGCCGACGATTTCGACGGTTTTTATGATTTTTTTTTGACGGTAGATACCATAGTCTTATAGATTATACTCAAATATTACGGCCCTAAGGCAACTTGTTTAACTTTAAAAATTCATCAAAGTTTGCAAAAATCAGTATCGTTTTTTTTTGTCATTTGTCAAAATTAGATTTTTTATCGACTTCTTAATGAACATACTAAACCATTAAAGTCCTATGGAAACTGGTTCAATTATAAAAATCTTTGATTTGTGAAAATTTGCTTTTAAAAAATACTCTGAGTTAACGTGTTCATTCGTCTTCAATTATGTGTAATAAATCCACTAACAATACATTTTAATCACTCATAAATTAATTTATTTTTTATTGATTAATTCGATTATTTACACATATCGGGAAGTTCATATAACTTGCCGCAAGGCAAAATACCAATACCAACTTGTTATTTCTACATTTATACATACTTTTTAAGTGTGGTTTGAAATCAACATTTTTAATTTAATGAACATTGTAAATACCAAAAAAGAAAATTTATTTTAATGCTAAAATTCATATTATTGCTTACTATTTCAGCAATATGACTACAGAGCGTGCGACGACTTAGATATGGAAAGAGCACTCAGAACTAAATCTGCAGATGATTCAACAACAATTATTTCATCAGGCTCGAATTCTAATGCACCTGATCTAGTTAGATCGACAATTCAAGATTCAGAATTATTATTGTCAAATACATCTTACTCCAAAAACCACAACGGTGATTATATGTATGGTTCGAGCTATGTGAATAATGCCGATCAAAAAATTACATACAGAAATACAAATATTTCTGATAGTATTGAACGAAAATATAATTATCTTACTCCTAATTCTAATAAAGATGACAATTATATGGACATGACTTATTCTTCTAAGAATACTAAGAGCGCTCTCAAACAAGATGATAATTTCTCATCAAAAAATTTGTTTTATAATAAATTTGATTATGGTTCGGAAAATTATGTTTCAAAAACAAGATCATCCGCTCTTGATGATACACCAATTTCCTCATCAAGAAAACCAGAGTTTATAGAAACAAGTAAGGACTATTTACACACTAGAACTTTCAGTGATAAAAATGTTTGTGATGATGATTCTTACACTTATCACTCAAAAGATTCTAAACTAGCAGCTGATGGTAAATATTTTTCAAATGAGAAAAAAATTGATGACAATTTATGCTCCGATTCTGTTGCTGATAAAGAGACCAGTAGTGATGTTCCAGTGAAAAAAGATTCAAGGTTTTCTGATAATACAATTGATAAGCTGCTGGCAGCCCCTAGCAAGATTTTGATACCGGAAAGATACATACCAGAGAAGGTTAGTATTAATATAATTCATTGTTCTTATTACAATTCACAATCAATGAACACAAAAATGAAGAATCACCTGCAAACTTATTACACATGTTTATATAAGAATATTAAATGAATGACTAATATTGCATTTGCTTGTAATAATATAGATTTAAACATTTAATATAATGTTCTTATTTGTTATAGGCGCCTGAACTAACACCTGAAGAATTAGAAAGGCGTCAGCAAAAAGCAGAATCTATTCGAAAAATGCTATCAACTACTTCAATAACTCCAACAGCCAACAACACTGTATGTTACTTCCAATTTAATTTATTTCATTTTTGTATTATTAACTTTCCGAATAAGAAATTTATGTTTTCACCAGAAAATCTAACTTACTTTTATGCTTTCTCCGCGTCACGTCGTTCCGAATCGTTTGGAAAAAGTTTGTGTATGTGACGAAGTTTTCGCAAAATGACCTGCACCAATTTCAAAAAATTATAATCTAAATAAAATTATTATATTATAATATGAATCTCATATCAACTCGATCAGCAATCGCGTTTGTTAGCTTTTCGAGACGATCGGCTAAGATGTTTCTTTAAAATTTGCACAAAAGTGCAAAAAAATTGTTCACATTTCCGTAAAAAAAAATTGAACTGATTTTAAAAATTCATAAATTATTCAAAAGATATTATTAACTTCCCGTAGGGTAGTTATAGTAATGGGACGAAAATCGAAAATGAAATTTTTTGCATTTCTTTACGTTTTGAACGATTTTGACGATGTGTGTGTGTTTTTTTATGTCCGCATTTTTTTTCGTCCACGTTTTCGCACGCACTGATCAACCGATTTGAATGGTTCAAAAAACATTTGATTTCTATTAATAAGGGGATGTGCTGATTAGTTTTTGTCAAATGCAGGTCCAGCCGTTACGGAGATACGGAGCAAAGAGTGCATAAAATACAAATCGAGTTTTTGAGAGAACGGAGTGTTCGATTTGAATGATCTAAAAAACATTTAATTTGTAATGATTGGGAGAAGAGATGATTAGTTTTTGGCAAATGCAGGTCCAACCATTTCGAAGATACATAGCTAAATACGCAAAAAAGGCAGTTTTTGAGAGAACTAAGCGTCTGATTTGAATGAGTCAAAGAACTTTCTGTTTGTTTTAACAAAATAATTGCTTTTGGAAAAAAAATTTTTGTTTCAATTTTTTTCGATTTTTTTTTTGTATATCTAAAATATTTCAGATATTAATTTTAATTCTGACTAAAGTTCTAATATACTTTAAACAAATAATTTCAACTTTGCAATTCAGTTTATATTAGAATTATAATTAGAATCTAATTTATTTGAAAACATTTAATATTCCTCAAACATTTCGTTACGGTACGGGAAGTTCCAGCAATTTGACTTAAGGCACGATGCCATACACCACTAGTTTGGAAATCGTGGTGATTAATTTTTGAAAGATACAGGTCAGATCAGATCGTCTCTCCATAATTGATTGTTAAAAAAATATTTTTTTACGATTTTAATAAAAGTTGATGTGACGATAGAGTTTCTGGTTTTAATTATACTTAATAAATATTACGGCACTACGACAAGTCGTTTAATTTGAAAAAATCCTCAGATTGAAAAAATCTGAAAAAAAAGGTGATGAGGTAAAATTTGTATCAAAAGTCGTATTTGTAAAGTTATTAGTCAAAATTGGACTTTCGTCGACGTTCTCTACTCGACTGCTGAATTTGCAAAAATTTAAAATCAATTCGATAAAACTATAACGAGGAGCCTTGATTAGGTTTGCGAGATGATCGCCTAAAAATTTTTGTCCGCGTTTTCGCAAAAATACTGAACCGATTTTGAAAATCAAAAAACCAATCGAAAGACATCATTTGGGAATCGGACTGAGTTTTAAGATCAATCACAATGAACTCAACTGTATTTTCGAAATAAACAGTTAAAATCTTAATCCTTGTTGATTAAGTCGATTATTTACATGTATCGGTTTTGAAACCTGTCTTAAGGTAAAATGCCACCTACAATTCTATTAATTTATATTTCTTACATCTTCTACTATTTCATCGATTCAAACATAATTAAAAATACATATTTAGTTTTTTTAATATAAACCAAAATGTTGCAGACCAACCAAGAAGGACAAGTAACAACAAATGAGAAACGCCAACGTGAACATTTATTGCAGCTTAATCAAATTTTAGCTAAAGAAGTTATGGAAATGAGTAAAATCGTAGCAGGTATAAAATAATATTATTAGGTTTCGATATACGTTTACTATTGATATCTATTTAAGTAAATGTTAAATTATTACAGAAATTTTCATTGTTCATTACATATTGATTGGTATTTCAATTTTTGTGTTATATTTTTGTTATTGAATGCTTTTACGTATTTATTGTCGAATAATTTATATAACTTAGTCAATTTTTTGGACAAAAGAGTTCTTAGTGTAAAAGAGGTAATTATTTTAATTAAACTTCTATTGAATATTCAAAAGCATGTATTCGTTTTCAAGACATAATGCAAAGACTCTTTAGTTCAAAAAATAATGTTTGTCTTAAATTTCTTTTTTAGTTTTTATGCAATATAGCAGAAGTTTAAATACTTGTTTTAAATAACAATTTCTTGTGAATTTATCAAATTATTTTGAAATAACTCTCAAACATTTGTGTGAGTTGCAGATATCTAATCAAATAAGATTCAATTAAAATTAAAATAATTACAAATTATAAAAATTGTCAAGTCAAATGGCTGAATTAATAAGTTATTCTAATATACAGTCAACCCTTCTACAATGCGGTTTCCATACGAGCCGGAGCTGATATTCCGACAGTCTTCCTATATCATGATACTTCTATAACACGTATTTTTTTCAAAAGCCTAAAGCCCATTTTTATTTATTGGTCCCTTCCGCGCAATCTACGAATAACCCTAGTAACTATTTTTTTTATGTAGCAAACTATACACACAGTACATTCAGCTTCTTTATAGGCAAACTATAAATATTGTTGTAAAGGTTTTAACATATGTTTTATTAACGACTATTTTACCTTTTACAATATGTTTATATAAGCATGCCAATATGTTTATATAAGCATGCCAATATGTTTATATAATCATAGCTGTGTACGATACCGGTTTTAATAGTATCAGATGTCTTTCACAGAACGTGGTCCTTCAAAAAAAATTCTGCTTGATTTTTTTTGTTGAAACACATTTTTAGTTTGTCTTTTTATCATATCTTTACCAGAACTCTACAGCCCTGTATTTTTTTTTTTTTTTTTTTTGTATATATTGATCTCCATAGAACGCGCTGATTCAGTGATTCGTACTAATTCTGAGTTTCAATATAACGCGCAACATTATCCGTTATGGAAGCGTTGACTGTATTTCACAATGTACCGAATAATTTATGAATGTCAGATCGAATAGTGTCTAAACTTCTCGCTTAAAATACTAATTAATGATTTGATCTTAATGTTAATTATTTTTCGTTAATGTTGTGTTGTGTATTTTTTTCTTCACGTGCACGCGTGTAGGTTCTAACACAAATTCAACATTGCAGTAACAGTAACAGTAGTTGATCCATCAGCTAAGAAAGTTTAAATTCATTTTTTATCGAATAAAATATAGTAATAACTTAAATGCTGCATGAAAATGGATAAATCAAATTGAAAAGTACACTTTCAGGTTAGTAAATTAAATAAATAGATATCTTATTATATTAGTGTGAGCAATGTGAGTTTTCTTATTATATTAGTGTGAGTGATGTGAGTTTTTTAGTTGATCAATTAAAACCACTATGCTGGAAAAATATAAATGCTTATGATTTATACATGTGTATACATATTTTTAATACACTTTAATTTAAAAAAAATTATAGTATGTTTATAATAGCTCCTTTTGTAAGACAGAGTTTTCCGCAGGGGTGACACTACCCTAGACAATATTAGAATACCCTGTGTTCATGTGGACACTACTCTGCAGGCCAACTTGCCGCCCAGACACACCACATTCTAAGATTTTCCAATCATTATCAGTAAAAATGTATTTAAAAATGAAAAATTACACTTCTACATATATGAAAATTTAAATAATTTAACTCTGTCTCATATGCACAGTTATTATGATAAATGATAGAAAGAAAGAATGAAATCTCTTTATCCGAATATCACAATTTTGACCATATAAAAGATATGTATGATATGAAATTACGGTTTATTATTAAGTCGATTATTTACACAAGCTGGAAAGTTATTTCAATTTGCTATAAGGCAAAATGCCACTCACAATTATTTAGCATTTACAAAAATTTAGTGATTAAATGCAGGTAGAGTATATTTTTTATTACAAAATTGTGTGATTTTGAAATATAAGCATTTCTCGTACCTTAATTTAAAAAAAAAATTACATGATTTTGGTATTCTTTATTAATTAATCTGGATTCAATCTTCACCTGCTTCAATTTGTGTTTTATTTTTCAGCTCGTGCAATGGCTGAAATTTCTTGCAAAACTGAAGCCAACAATCATTACTATGATGAAGATGAATCATCACCAATTGCACCATTTCCAGTATATCAACAGAGAGAAAATTATTTTACATAAATGCAGCATTGCTTCTGGGGTACAACTATTGAACTTCAAAGAAAGAAGTCAGATCCTTTGCTTTTTAGAGTCTCTTATAGTTCTCGAATCAATTCCTTTCTTATATTTTGGTAAGATATATATATATATATATATATATATATATATATATATATATATATATATATATATATATATATATATATATATATATATATATATATATATATATATATATATATATATATATATATGACAAAACCCAGTAATTTGAAATAAGCTGCCACTGCCTTTCCATTTATTACATTTGCTTTTAAAACAAAATATTATAATTTCGGATTTTGAAGTAGTAAAATAAAAATTTTATAACTAATGACACAATTACTGAATCAAAACTACTTACAATTATTCCATATTCAAACTCTAAATAAACTTTTAATCATATTATTTTGCTTTGTTGAATTGAATGTAAAGGGTTTCTCCCATGAACCAATTAATTTATTTGTTATAAATTTTAAACAATATTAAATAATGAATTTTTCATAATAATTACATGATCTACATGTATCTATTTAAGGCATAAGACAATTCTTATGTAGTACATGAGATACATCTAAAATGAAGAAAATTTAATTTGGAACTTTGCTTGAGTTTTTATAGAATTCGGTAATTTTTATAATATTTTGTTTTAATTAATTTAAGATAATCTGATCCTCTATAATATTGACATAGTTTGCCACAATTTTTACTTGAGAATATTGAAATTAAAATGATAATTTGATATTAAATTAGGCCATAACTAATTTTAAGTGCGGTCACTTTAATAGAAAAAACTAATACTAAGCTATAGTTACCAGTCAATAACTTTATAGTTATTTTCTAATACCATCTTGTAGTTAATGTTTTTTTTATCCATACAAGGTAATTACCAGATCCAGGTAATTATCCGATTGTTTTAAATACTAAACATATCATTTTACCTTTTTAATGAATTTTAAAATTTATCATTATGGGGCCAATTTTCAAATAAAAGATGCTACTGTTCGTTCGTTAAAGGTCCACATCTAACGAACGAACACGGACAAACATGTCGAACAAGAAAATACAAAAGGTGCGTCCACACCTAACGAACGAACATGCTGAATAATATGCGCAGATTAAAAATATCTAACGAACGCGTATAATTCCAAACAAACGCCCCAAAGCAGTGAGGGCTCTTTTTGTTCGAGGATGTACCGTGAAACGTCAGATTTATTATTTAAACTGGCAGGAAAGAGCAAAATTATTTAAAGTCATCAAATTCTCAAAATTTGTCAATAACAGCAATATCTTATAATAAACACAACACATTTTAACATCAAAAAAGAAAAATGTTTGTCTACATTCTTGGTAGCGTCCACACTGCACATACGAGTTCAAACATGAACGAACAATTCCCTTTGATGTACCGACAAGTTGCGGAACATTGCTCGCCATGTTTGTTTATGTTCGTTCGTGATCGTTGTGGCGTCCACACTTTGCTGTTGCCGTTCGTTCTGGTACGTTCTTTTATGTTCGTTCGTGTTCGTTCGTTAGGTGTGGACGCACCTTAACGAACTCGATGTTACAACCTAACCTCCAAATGTCACATATGTCAAAATATAACATTAGACGACTTCACGTCGTAAAAGTTCAAACAGTTGCAGATTGTCAGTTTGCAACAGTTTGTGCTTGAACTTTGACTTGGAAACTAGTGTCGTGTGTTATTGGTATATTTTGACATTTGTGCCATTTGGAGAGTTTTAAAAGTTAGAGTTGTGTGAAATTCGATTGAACAGCAAAGGCGTTTTGACAATTTCGTGACTCCCAAGAGACAGGTAACATACCATACCATAGAAAATTGGCTCATAAATGTTGAATTAGTTATACCAAGGGTGTTTCGAAAGTGAATTGGTTTCTTGAATTTGAATTTACGTCAGGGGGGCAAGCCTGCTCTAAAAAATCTATTTTTTTTTGAAGGAAATAAATATTGAATTGAAACGAAACTTTTAGGTTTTATTGTTATATATTCCAACATTTTTCTCATTTTTTTTTTCATTAAAATATGTCACAATATGCCGGGCACAAGCATTTTGTCCATTTTGTCATGTCGCGGGAAGATGCAGGTCACAATTTTCATCAGAAACAAAGAAAAAAAAAAAACAAAACAAATGTATATTTTCAATAGTATAGATTCTAGTTAAACCTAACAAATCTAAAAAAAAAAGTGAGAAAAACAACATTTTTTTGCAACTTAAATTTTTTTTTTTGGAAATAATTTTACTTTGTGTTGTTTAAAAATTGGCTTAATTATAACTTTTTCTACGGTTTTTCAGGTTCAACTAGAAGAAACCTCCTCTCGTTTCGACAGGACGTTAATTTTTTTTTTTTTATCTTTTCCACCAATTAGAAAAAATCAGAAAAATGGAAAATCGAGGTTAGAAAGACATTTTTGCAAAAAAATCGATTTTTTTAATCCTCTAAAGTAGGCTTCCCCCTTCTGTTTTGCAATATAAAAATAGAAAGTTGCATTAGGAATGTATATGTTTTACTGAAATGTTATCAAATAGATTTATGTAAAAAACTTGCCGGTGAAAATTCAAACTCTAATTTTTACATAGCAGAAATGTCAGTATCGCTGTTAATAAGTGTGAAGATATATTGAATGAGAGCAGTAAAATTAACTGCACAATCTTAGTTGTTGTTTACTAAGTATATTCAGTAAATTCAAATACATAATGATCTCGTACCAATTTTTATTAAAATCACTATTTGTGTATAAATTAAGTTTTAAGTGATCGATCATATCATTTTTCATACAATTGTATGTAATGTAACTTTGATCTTATGCTGTACATATGTTGTTTATATCAGTTTTATAAATATTCTTTTATATTGAATACTTTTATAACTTTTCTATGACTGTTTATACTTTTTATAGGCAAGTTTTGTAGCTAACTTCTTACTATTTGATATTTTTACTACTAATGAAAAATTACATTAACACATGCACTTCAATATATGAAGAATGTCTTTCAATGATGAAAAACATCAAAAGGTTTTATAAATACCTGATTTCTTTGAATAAACTAGGCCTAAGTTATTACTCACATTAAAGACTTTGAATCAATCTAAAATATTAAATAATATTTTGCTCAACTCAATTATAGCTGGACTTGCAATATTTATTGGTTAAAACACGATTTAATAAATAATGAAGGTTTTAAGTAATAATTATGAACTTACTTGCATACAACTATATACAGAAATTAATTTATCTAAAAACAACTTTGTGAGGTTTTCTACGCGATGTTAAATTTTTTTATACACAACAGAATTCAATTTATTCAATGACGGTAGTCAATACAGTAGCAATTATAATCCTAGAGATATCTTTAAATGTAGAAGCTAGATAAGTATATTATATTGTGAATTATTACGAATTATTCGTATTTATAAGAAATATTTGATCATCTTAATAAGGTGGAACAGTTTGGGTAAAAATATTTCTTGTACAAATATTCAAAAAGTAATATCTGCAATTTATATTCATTTGTATTATTTTCCGTTTTTATTGTACTTTTATACAATTTAGAACAAAGGCCAATTTTGAATACTTTGATAAGAAATTGATTATTTTTTACTGTTTTTTAAATTTTTACCAACAAAACGGCACTGTTTTTACCCTCTGTGACTTAACGCTTTAACAGTTAGTATCTATTATGATATAAAGTATATAATACTATATGCATCATTATACTAAAAGTTGTTATACTGCCATTATAATCTATGTAGTTTATATACTGAAAACACAATATTTGGTGTCCCTCCGAAAAATGTAATCCTAAATATTATATAGCCATATCGAGGTATGGGAAAAGTTAGGTAGCTGTAGTTTTGTAGTTTTTGTTACTTATTCAGAAGAAAATGTAACAAAACGAAATTATCATAAAGTATAATAAATTATTAATTATTAAAATGATTATCAAAAGGGAGAAATTTATCAAATTGATTATCTGTTCAAATGTTTAAAAAACATTCATAATATTTAGATTTTATTTTAAATATTTAAATGTTTTTGAAATTTGCATTTTATGTATAAGGGATCGTTCAAGTATTACGTAAGCAGATTTATTACAATTATTTACCCCCCCATCCCCCTAGTCAGCAGAAGTAAGCAAAGCTCTTACCCCCTATCCCCATGCTTACGTAAACATTTTGCAATTAATGTAAGAAAATAAAAATACTATCTATGACGTAATCATCATCCAGACTTCCCTGCCCCCCATGTCAACCCAAAATAAGCAAATCAACAACCCCCCCGCCCCCTATAGTGCTTACGTAATACTTGAACGGTCCCTAATGTAGAAATAGTAAAGTATTAGATGTAAAGAGATTGCTTCTTTTACAGATATTTTTTTTTCTAATGTTTGTTTTATAATGCTTCTTTTTTTACCAATTTTCAATTATTTTAAACATTGTTGTATTCATATTAATATAAATTTTAAACTTGCAAACTGACTACAATATATGTTTATTTGAGCATATACTATTTCCATTTTGATATTTTAACCCACAAAAACTTAAATAAAAGTTCTGGCAATGGCCATTATCTGTATTTGATTAGTATATATAGAAAAATAATGAAAGCAAGTGCAGAACATGGTAAATTTTATTTATTTATTTAGTATATAATCTATTGTAAAATACTCATCTGTATCAAATATTAATAAGAATATCATAAATTCCTTGGATTTATGTTGTATGTATTATAATAACGAATGCTTCAAGTGAAATAACAAACATAATTGTTTGACATGTCATGTCATTATATTTTAATTTTTTATTATTATAAGCAATCTATAAATATCAATTATTTTTAAAATTAATTGTTGTAGAATTTGATCTAAATAATAAGTTATTTTGAACATATCTGAAAAGAATTAGGAGTAATGTGTTTAAATATTGAAATATTTATTTTCTATATGTATTTATAAAAAATCAACATCCCATTAGATTATTCTAAGTTTAAGATATTATAATGTTTATAAATCATGTTATTTTATGCCAATTTCTAATAATTTATTGCACTAGTAGCAAGTACATCAATCATTACACAAGGTTTATTGTATATTTGTAAATGTTTCGATATTGATGCAATTTCAATGTGATAATTATTTGAGTTACATGATACATCACATAAAAAAGGATGGTATTACAAATTGACTTTTTTATTTTGAATCATGCATGCGTCTACAAAATTATGAGCCAATTTTTAGATAAAATAGCTATTTTGCCAATCTCTTAGGTTGACTAATCGCATGAATTGGCAGTCATGAACTGTCAAAAAGCTTGTTATTTGAGCGTCTGAACTAGTAAAATCTAACCTTCAAATGCCACAAATTTAACATTTTAGGCTTTTGGATTTGATATTATGTACAATGGTCGATTTAACAGCAAAGACTTAGTATTTTGACAGTTTTGTCACTACCAATTCATACAATTACTCAACATAAGCGACAGGTAACTCAACATAGCTATTTTATGCTAAAATTGGTCCTTAATATTGAATATCTAATGAAAAAATTAAATATGCCGCAATGTCTCAGTTTTTATAGCTCTACTTAATATTACATCAACATTAACAGTAATCAGAAGCATATTTTACTTATGATTGTTTATTGAGGTTTATGCTGATTATGATTTTAAGTTCTTAATGAATTATTAAATAAGATTTCTACTAACTTGGAAATTATGTTTCTAGATTCAATATGTAAATCATTATATTATTTCATATATTTAATATATATATATATATATATATATATATATATATATATATATATTATATGTCAATACAACATAAAATTCAGAACTACACATACACGTGTGTATGTGTATCTAAATTGTTAGATGTATGACTTATATAAAAAGATGTGTTAATAGAGAAAATCTAGGTTTGAAATCTGTTACTAGTTATATATTAACAATACATAATACAGATATATATATATTACTTTATTTCAACTATTTATTTGCAGGCGCACACAATTTATAATACATACATCTGCATAGCACTTAAATTGAATTATCTGAATTGCTTTGTCGCAACAGAACAATAATTTAAAAGTTTTCGTTTGAACCACATCATGCAATAATCAGCCATCCTGCATGCAATGTAGATTTCGAGTATCTGCATGTTCTCTAATTAATTTACTTCATTTTAATAAAATCATTGATTAAATTTGATTAATTGGCACCTGATCGTTCAGTAAGTGCATGAGATTAATCTGATGTATAATAATCGGATGATAATGATAAAAAATACAAATACAATTTGTTCAAGACACGTGTCTTTTATATTATTATATCTAATTTCTCTAGTAGTTATCTAGTTTCTCTTGCAGTGCTATTGACACTAATGATTGCAATAATGATTGTTTACAGAAATTCCAATGTATTCTTTATAACTATGCAATAATATATATGCGCAATTATCTAATTTTTTTTGGTTATGTGGGTATTCTTTGCAAGAACTCGAGCTCGAAAAATTTTTTTTTTTCGATTTTTTTTTCTAAAAAATTTTTTCACCTATATTTTTTTGCCCAATTTTTTAAAAAAAATTTTTTTTTCTAAAATTTTTTTCTAACATTTTTTTTTTTAAATTTTTTTGCGAAAAATTTTTTCCCAAAAATTTTTTTCCAAAAAATTTTTTCACCAAAATTTTTTTTCCAATAAATTTTTTCTCCAAAATTTTTTGACCAAATATTTTTTCAAAAAATTTTTTTCCGACAAATAAAATCCATGGTTTTTCCCCAAAAATTTTTTTGAAGGATATTGAAAATACTGATATTATTTGAGAAAATTATAAGAATTTACCTGAAAGTTTTTGAGATTTTGTGAGAATTTTCGATGCTTTTTGAACATTTTTGAAACCATTTGAAAAATGTGAATATTCAAAAATTTGAGATTTTTTTTTTGCAGAGAGAATATAAGTAAAGAGGAAATTATATGACTTAATATTTTTATGCAGAATTTTATATTTTTAAAATTAGAAATTTGTTATGATGTATTTTTTGTATAATACCGTTTTTATTTAATTAAGATACTTTTTATGCTGTAAGCGCACCATGAGGTGTAAAACTATTTATTATTAAAAATTTACTATTAACGTTTTCTAGGAAATTATATTTCTATACTTTAATATATATTAATATTTTGATATATTTATTCACTTACAAAACAATGTTATTATTATTATATAATATAAAAATATACAACAATATATAACACGATTTTGTAATTTCAACTTATTTAATAAAAGAAATTAAATAAAATACCAGTTCCCTACATTCGTCTCTTACTTACCGCACACCATCCTCCGCTTAGGAGAGCAGACAATCGATTTTTTTTTACTTTTAACATTTTTTCTATGGCAGTTTTTTTTTTATTTATTTTTTTTCTTTTGAAGATTTTGTGCTGAACCCGATGA